CTGCAGCCGCTTTGACGCCAATATCATAGGCTTCGCCGGCAACGGACTTACTCCGCTTGCCAGCATTCTGATGTACTGCTGCTGGTCTGCCTCTCCGGCGGCAGCGAAGAAACGCGAAATCATGGGAAACTGCGCAATAAGGAACTGCCCTTTAAAACTGTTGTGCTCCACAAGTGTCCGGACATGGCTCCGCGGCAACGCCGCACTGCACAGTTGCTGCGACTCTGCAGATAGTTTTCCCGCACCAACTGGTGCACCGCCTGGCCGACGAACTCCATCTGCTCCCCCTGCGAAAACTGATTCACCTCCAGGGGCATGTCCCCTCTAAATATCGCGTTAGCTAGGGGCAACAGCCCCGTCGCAAAGGTCACGGGGTCGGGGGTCTCATCCCTGAAGCCCGGGGCCGCCGAGAGCACCGCCCGCAGCGCCTCCCGCGCTGGCAAGGCCTCCGCCTGCTCGCTGAACGGGCGATCTCTCAACCCCTCCGGGATCGGATTGGTCCTGACCATGGCCGCCGCCTCCCGGATCTACCCTATGCCCCCCTTTTCAGAAAGAATTTCGCCGGCGGGCTGCTTCAGCAGCGCCGGCCAGATAAGAGCATAAGGAGCGAGTATCGACTGAGCTGCAATAATAAATAACAGCTCATTCTCTCTCTCTCCTCTGGGCGCTACTTTCCTGGCTAATCGAAGATTACCTGTACGAATTATTAGCAGAATACAATCTATTAAATAGTGCTATCATAAAAATATTTTAACAGGATTAAGCAAGACCAAAAAAATGATTTAAACTTAAGATAATAAGATATAAAATATATATGGACAAACAATTGGAAACAGAACCTAAGCCTAAAAAGAAGGTCGGGCGTCCTCGTAAATATCATACCGATGAAGAATATAAAGCTGCAAGAAAAATACAAAACGATAAATATACGGCTAAGATTAAGAAAATGCGTGAGTTGTGTCAGCAAATTGGAGAATGCTTATGGAATATTTTGAAGGTAAAATCTTTGCCTTTCACGATGCCATATACATCAAACAACCTAATGGGTTATATTATCAATTAAATGGTGATAAGGATTATTTCAAGAGTTTTGTTCGTCGGGAAATATTGGTTGAATTTGTTCTACTATCTGATCAAGTTCCTGTTTCTTGGCGAGGAAGAGTTCTTAGTTATGATTCAAAATGCCCATTACACACAGCATTTATGGACGACCTATACAAGTTGGGGCGTGACCAATATTCGGATGTTCCTTTAAAGATGAATAACAATTATGGATATATTGGGTTCAATGGGCTAGTGAAGATTACAGCTAGATTGAGGAGGAGGATAATCACATGCGCGATGATAAAAAATTTACAAGTCTTTTAGTTCCGTACAGGCCGCGAAGTTCACGACCTTTTACCATACTCGACGCAAAGCTTCGTCGCGCCCCTGGCCGCGATCCCGCCGGCGCTCGCCAGCGTCTGCGGCGATGCCGTCGCGCACGGGCGCCTTGAAATTCAAATCGCAAACGCGTCACGTTTCGCGCCTGTACCGAAGCACTTGGCGGCGCCAAGCTTTGAGGCTTTACACGACGAAGATCGAAGTGATTGAGTCGGTCAAGGGCGGCGGAAATATATTTTTTGGTGGCTGCTTGGGTTCGAACTGAGAGATAAAGTGCGTTGACCGCGTTGTCCGAGTGTTTGGACTGTGTGCGAGGCGGCAAGCCCGAGTGGCGGCGAGTTTGTGTTGGATATGAGTTGTGAATGACGTTGTACATGTGTAACTCGGGCGAGAGCTGCGAATTCGACCGCCGGAGCACTGCGCCATCGCTTGCTTCGGGGTTTGTCTTCCGCACGGCCGAGTGTTTGGACTGTGTGCGAGGCGGCAAGCCCGAGTGGCGGCGAGTTTGCGTTGGATATGAGTTGTGAATGATGTCGTACGTGTGTAACTCGGGCGAGAGCTGCGAATCCGAGGAACGCGCTGCGCAAGGTGTCCCGCTCGGCTGTCCTACTCGCCCGCAGCGCGCTGGCGCCGGAATGCGAGCCTAGTCGCGCGAGCTTTCGGTGCATGGCCGCCTAAGACGGTCTCTAGTCGCGCTAGTTCCATATCCCTTATGTTGGGCCCCCTGGCGACTGCCAGCTGCCCCACCGCCTCACTTCCTGGAAAGCAGTCTCCCCTGTCGGACATAAGTCAAACTTGGAGCCGCGATGGGGCGACCATTTCACAACGCAAAAAAAAAATGAGGCTACTTCACATGGCAATCTGATGTCAAAGACTCCATAAAACACCGCAAAACACATGCCGAGATCATGATGTTGATTAGAGGCAGCGTCCTAAATATCAAGAAACCCGATTGTGAAGTATCCGGTAATTTAGAATATGGGTTGCTATTCAGTTGAGTTGGGACTGGGAGAGCTGAAGGTCCAAATAAATATGCCACCACTATTCATGCCGTTTTACTTCGTTGATTCTCGATAGCAACACTACGAGTGCTTTTGCTGATGGGAAAGACTGAGTGAGGAAACTAACAATTTAGCGGCTATGATGCATTCGTTTGTCGAGTCTTGTGACTCTGTTATGAATGCACAACTCGTGTCACCTGTAGACATGGTTATGTCACGTGTCATGTCACCATGGCCCAGATGCAAGAGGGCTTCCTTGGGCAACCCGCGCATGTCCCCTCTTGTGTAAACACAAACGTCAGTGGAGCTTTCGGCGTAGTTTTTCTTGAAGCCAAAATTTGTGAGCTGGCGCTGAAATGATTCCAATCTGCGATGACGAAAGTAGGTCGGCATCGCTTCGAGAAGTGCAGAAGGAGGGAGGGGGATTATTAGGTTTCCAGAGTTCCAGGAAATTAAATGGGCTTCAAGCTGAGTGACTGCTGCATACAGTCGTGGACCGAATTCTTTTTTTGAGGAACAGCCCGGAATCAATTTAGGATGGCATCTAGTTCGCTTGTGATCTTGAATCAGACGCTGTAGCTGAGACTTTTGCTCGAGAGTGAGCACATGAATATTTTTCACGTCATTGAGCGTCGTAATTGTCTTTCGTTGCCACGACCCTCGCAAGAATTGCTCAAAGATGCACTCAACATGATACCAGCTTGTTTTTGAACATTTCATCTTTCTGCCGATACGAGGCGTACCACGGGCAATCGCACAACGGCAACTTCGCTCCCTACACTTCGACCTTGAGTTGTTCGCGATCGATGCCTGCTAGTCATGAATTTGTTATTGTTCCTTGGCGCGAAGTTTCGACTACGAACCTCATATGATGGGTCCATATCATCTATATTGTCGAATCGATCGCCCGAAGAGAACGACGGCATAGCTGCAGAATGGATGGTGAATCCTACAAGTGCTTCCCAATGCGTTATACGATCTTTGCATGGGATAGGTCTCTTTTCACTTGCCTTAAGTTAAAATCGCGGGGTCAAGATAAGTGACCACACCGCCAGCACGCCGTCGACAGACGCCGGCGAGTGCCGTCTCCTGGTTGTCGGAGGCACCGTTTTCGGAGAGTGGTTTAGTACCTCAGCCAAGGAAACTCTGAAGGTAGCACCCTAAGGAGATTGCGCTATCGCTATAGCGCCTGCGCTATTTGGGATGATAAGCGTAGAATTTATATTAACAATATATCATTTGCGCATATCAGAGCAAACGCTACAATTGAAGCAAAAAATATTGGGTAGTAAGTGTCGGATTTTAGTATGGGTAACACACTGGTCTGAAGAATGGCGACTATCGAGGTCAGAACGCGAGTGTGATTAAGAAAACCAAAGTGCGCTTGGCGATGAGCCAGCCACCTAGCGAGCCTACATGCCGCTCCTTGGGCTATGCTACCCTAACTCGGGACTATGCTATCCTCCCTATGCTGGGACGTTCATATTGGCCTATGCTGGCTATGCTAATTCTGCCTTATACTGGCTATGCTCATGCCATCTTAACGAACTAATCCTTACAAAACTTGGCACCGTATCCAAGTGGTCCTGGCGTATCCCTGCCACGGTGGGCGCGTCGTCACGGTGCGGCGCTGAGGGGGCGAGCAGGAGGGATCTCGGCTTCTGCGTGTTCCCCCGCGACACGGACTGAAGTTAGGCCTCCGACCCCGAGTTCCAACGGCAAAGTGGACTCATTTTCTCCCCCCATCAGGCAGAACATGCCCAACGCGTCAGTGATCGTTGGACCACCATGCTCAGAGAGGTTCCCCCAACGTTCCCCCAACCGGGGAGTTTTACCTGACTTGCAGTCAGGCATTTTCGCGCTACGGAGAGCGTTTGGCGCATAGGAGATGGTAAGTTTTGTAAGGATTAGTTCGAAAAGATACTATGCTGGTGCTTTAAACTAGCATACTCGGGCTATCCCCCCTATGCTGGGACGTTCATACTGGCCTATGCTGGCTATGCTAAGTCTGCCTTATACTGGCTATGCTCGTGCTATACTATGCTGGTGCTTCATACTAGCATACTCGGATTCTAACACGGTATATCCTTTTTCTTTTTCGTATCTACTGGTAAAGTTTGTGTTGTGGCTCGGTGATCCGTTCGGTTTGCAGGTTTTCCGATAGACGCGTTGCGTTGTCTTGGATGATGATTGTCCCTATGTCCTGTCCATGTCTTGGCTGGACGTCTCCACTATATGAATCCTGACTGCGACAGCTTCATGGATCCGTCTTCATATCGCGAAAAAAAATTGACTAAAATCGTTGTCCTATCTTTTCTAGGTAGCTAGGGCGGTGGGGTAGGCCCTAACCGGACTCCGAGTCATCCTAACTGCCCCCTATCAAACAACAATACTTCACCTCTGGAGCAACAGATGCCAGCGAACACAAGACAGCTATTCGTTCCGGATGTGTAGGAGGAAGAACATTTTATTGACTCTAGGCTTGCATCTGTGTGCGGTCTATGCGCATGAGGACTCGCTCCTTGAAGTCGACTTTTGTCAGTATTATTATCGAAACCCTGCTTCAAGTGAACCGCGATACCCAGATTGCTCCGATGTCAAAGCCAAGGTCGTTTCCAATGAGACACGGACGCTGCCGACGCTTGAGCTCGGGGAGCCTGGAGCCAAAGCACTTTTTTTCATCCATGGATGGCCAGACAACGCTGCGATGTGGGCTGCACAATTTGCACATTTTTGTTTCAATGGTTCATTTTACTGTGTGGCTGTGACTTTGGCCAATTTTCACCCTGACTTTCCTGATGCAGATCCTGATAAGGAGTTGAAAATTACCCAGCAACTCATTGAAATCCACCAGACGATGCTAGAGGCTCATCTTGTGGACCCAACACTTGTTGTCCATGACTGGGGCTCTGTAATCGGGTATGAGATGCTTCATCGTTATCCTGCAGTTGCCAGGCAAATCATATCGTTTGATGTTGGCAGTACAGTCTCTTCCGAAAGTTGGAAACTTAACTTGACTTACCAAGAACAAAATCGAGAGGCGTGGCAACAGAAAAACGACAGCAAGAGTGTTGGTTCAGCAATTTACTGGGAGGCACCAGCACCGCTCAGAGCCACATGGAGGACTTCTTGGCCTTACGAATATAATTTATCTTACCGAGGCTTCATTCAACATCCGTATCCACCTGCAAGTGTCCCACTCCTCTTCCTTTGGGGGAACATGACCCGAGGCGAGCCGCGCCAAGCTAATACCATTTTTTTCGGTCCGCATTGGCTCGACTTTGTGCGCTCTACCCCGCACGGCCGAGTTGTCGAAGTAGACTCCGACCACTGGATGCATGTTAAGTCACCTAGATTCGTCAATAATGCGATTAGTGCTTGGCTCAATGGATACTAAACTGCTACTTTGCAATAATGTGAAGTTACAAAAGCCGTCAGGTTTTGATCCACATTAGTCCAACTTGGACTTCATTGGAGGCAACTTGCTATGGTTGTCTACGAGGCACTAGCGCAGGCCAAAGAAACTAAATCTCACGCGAGTGCTCATACTCTGACTGTTACTAGAGAGATAGTGATGTCCCTATGAGCCAAAAAATATAGGCCGCACCACCCGGCTCGCGGCCGCCCCCGGTACCACCCGGTATCGTTGGCCATTGTTTCGTACTTCTGGGGGGGGTTCGACCGTGGTCAGAGCCTGAATGGTACTGGTTGCTCATGACTTGTTAATTTTGTATGTGGATGTTGATGTGGAGTCTTTGAGGCGCTGACACGAGCTTCGACAATCTCCGTCGTACGTCAGCAAAACGTGCTATGCAACACTGGACGCAGTAGTGGTATTCCCAGCGTCGGACGAGCTGGCAGACGAGCTCTCGGACGAGCTGGTGGGGCTCATGGAGCTACTCGAGCTACTCATGCTGCTAGTAGAAGAAAAGCTACTCCGAACGGCGGAGCCTATCACCTTGTTCTGTCTGGCTTTGTTTCTCTGTGCAATCTGCGGAGGCTCTATAGATGTGACTTGAAAGTAAGAAACAGGAGTACGGAAAGCAACGTCGCCAAAGAGGAAAAGGGCTGAGTAACCTCGGCCGTGGACATAAAGCATTGCCGTTAAGTGCGCAATCGGCATGGCTATGAAAGCACAAGAGTCGAAAATTCCGCCTCGCGCCAGATTCAACATCATCTTTTTCCTGAAGGCGACAATCGCTGCATTATCATTAGAGGAGTTCATGAGAGACACAGCAACCTTGCTAGCTTGAGACTGGAAAAAAATGGCGCAAACAAAGGATATCAAAGGAAACACCAATGTGAAGAACATGGAGGCATCTGGCATGAAGGTAGGGTAGCCAATCCACCAGTCGCACCCAAAAACTTCAAGTTCAATAACAAAGCAAAATAACCATGCTGCAAGCAGTGACCGCTTCCTCTCCTTAAATATCGGGCCTGCAGCTTTCATTTTCTTCACCGCACTCGCCTCGTTCATCCACATGATAGCTAAGAGTAGAGTAGTAAAAGTTGACCATGATTTCCAAGCTTGATGAAACAACCCCATAACAAACGGATGTTCCCCAAGGAAAGAATATTTACAAAACATGCTAGTAGTAGTTACACCGGCAGCCAGATTATTAAAAGCATAAGCCAGATTTGGGACGAGTTCACAAAAAACGATCGCTTGCTGAACTTTGAAGGGCTTCTTTCTAAAATTTTTTGGGAAAAAAAAGGGGATACATTCCAGACATTTCAGCGCAATAAAAAGCTGAAAGAAAGCGGCAGGTATTGGAAGAAGCATATCAGGCACGTGCGTCGTGCGGTATTTATCATAGAACTCGATACCACGACGCCAGTAGCCTCTTTCAACAAATTCGGCGAAGGGTTTGCCTTTTCTAATTTGATCGTGCATGATCAGGTATCCATAAATATCAACGTCTTGCATACAAAAGCTATATTTTTTAGCTTTCCACGAGATAGCCCCTTCTGAGGTCACCTTGTGAAACATTCCGACCTGCCAATCGACGTAGCCAGCCGCGACTAAAATCGCCTGCAATCTGGACCGATGTATGTTTAGATAAGACGCGTGAAAAGTACATGATCCATCGGGAAGAACAGCGCCCGCCATACCACTTTCGTACAGAAGCACATAACCCCGAAAATCAGGCAGTTTTCGCGGAGGACAAAAATAAACCCCCCAGGCAGTGCCACCGTTAGCATTGATAATCTCCTTCTGTGTGTCGCTAATGATGAGATTATTACGTGGAGTTATCGTTGGTAAACCAATAAAGTAGCGCTCCGCATAGAGACCATCGCGGACATTCCTGCCACCCGCATTCTTTGCTATCTTATTTTTGTTTGCGTAGTGACCATACTTATCTATGAAAAACAAATGAGGGGGTGACCGCAGATTCTGAAAATCGTAGACGAATTTCGGTCTCATGTATTTGAAATTTGGAATGTTGCTGCCTGGCCGCGTCCTTGACGCTGCCACGCGTATTATGCAGGCGGTCAGTAACGTGTACATCGAGGACCACGTTGCGTGGAGTAGCGTTATACGTGCACACGTGATATGTGCAGGTGATATCAAGGAATGATACAAGATATAGAATGCTCCACCCAGCTCGGGAACTAGCCTAGTCTACTCCCCCGGGCATTAATAACGAGATAGTAAACTCCGACACGGGGAGGCAGCCTAGTGGGGCTGCCCTGCCGTGTGAGGGTGAACTATCGAGGTTACGCAGTGGCGGTACACCGGCGTCTCTGTTATCCTCACGTCACCTCAGCTGCCGTAGTATACGGGGGCTGGGGCTAGGCTTAACGAACCAATCCTTACAAAACTTGGCAAAGTATCCAAGTGGTCCTGGCGTATCCCTTGAGCCGCTAACATGATGGTCCAACGATCGCTGACGCTGGGTTCGGCATGTTCCGGACCACGGAAGGAGAAAGTGGGATCACTTCGCTGCAGGAAGTCGGGGTCGATGGTCTCATAAAATTACTCCATGTCGTGCGAGGGGCAGCAGAAGTCGAACAAGCCACGGCGGGCGCGTCGCGCGGCGCTGAGGGGGCGGGCAGGAGGGATCTCGGCTTCTGCGTGTTCCCCCGCGACACGGACTGAAGTTTCGAGGCCTCCGACCCCGAGTTCCTACGGCAAAGTGCTCTCATTTTCTCCCCCCATCAGGCAGAACATGCCGAACCCAGCGTCAGCGATCGTAGGACCATCATGTTAGCGGCTCAAGGGAGTTAACATTTCCCAACCACCTAGTCATGAGGTGGGAGACGGGCATGCCGCTTGTGGGATCGATCCACGAGCGGCGGGACACGGCGCTGCTTGGCGAGATGACAAGGGGCATGCCCCAGGTGCAAGGCTCGGCGACAGCAATATCCAGTAGGGCCAATTGCCTGAGATCCGGCCGGAAATGGCTAAAGAACGAGCTTCGACAATCTCCGTCGTACGTCAGCAAAACGTGCTATGCAACACTGGACGCAGTAGTGGTATTCCCAGCGTCGGACGAGCTGGCAGACGAGCTCTCGGACGAGCTGGTGGGGCTCATGGAGCTACTCGAGCTACTCATGCTGCTAGTAGAAGAAAAGCTACTCCGAACGGCGGAGCCTATCACCTTGTTCTGTCTGGCTTTGTTTCTCTGTGCAATCTGCGGAGGCTCTATAGATGTGACTTGAAAGTAAGAAACAGGAGTACGGAAAGCAACGTCGCCAAAGAGGAAAAGGGCTGAGTAACCTCGGCCGTGGACATAAAGCATTGCCGTTAAGTGCGCAATCGGCATGGCTATGAAAGCACAAGAGTCGAAAATTCCGCCTCGCGCCAGATTCAACATCATCTTTTTCCTGAAGGCGACAATCGCTGCATTATCATTAGAGGAGTTCATGAGAGACACAGCAACCTTGCTAGCTTGAGACTGGAAAAAAATGGCGCAAACAAAGGATATCAAAGGAAACACCAATGTGAAGAACATGGAGGCATCTGGCATGAAGGTAGGGTAGCCAATCCACCAGTCGCACCCAAAAACTTCAAGTTCAATAACAAAGCAAAATAACCATGCTGCAAGCAGTGACCGCTTCCTCTCCTTAAATATCGGGCCTGCAGCTTTCATTTTCTTCACCGCACTCGCCTCGTTCATCCACATGATAGCTAAGAGTAGAGTAGTAAAAGTTGACCATGATTTCCAAGCTTGATGAAACAACCCCATAACAAACGGATGTTCCCCAAGGAAAGAATATTTACAAAACATGCTAGTAGTAGTTACACCGGCAGCCAGATTATTAAAAGCATAAGCCAGATTTGGGACGAGTTCACAAAAAACGATCGCTTGCTGAACTTTGAAGGGCTTCTTTCTAAAATTTTTTGGGAAAAAAAAGGGGATACATTCCAGACATTTCAGCGCAATAAAAAGCTGAAAGAAAGCGGCAGGTATTGGAAGAAGCATATCAGGCACGTGCGTCGTGCGGTATTTATCATAGAACTCGATACCACGACGCCAGTAGCCTCTTTCAACAAATTCGGCGAAGGGTTTGCCTTTTCTAATTTGATCGTGCATGATCAGGTATCCATAAATATCAACGTCTTGCATACAAAAGCTATATTTTTTAGCTTTCCACGAGATAGCCCCTTCTGAGGTCACCTTGTGAAACATTCCGACCTGCCAATCGACGTAGCCAGCCGCGACTAAAATCGCCTGCAATCTGGACCGATGTATGTTTAGATAAGACGCGTGAAAAGTACATGATCCATCGGGAAGAACAGCGCCCGCCATACCACTTTCGTACAGAAGCACATAACCCCGAAAATCAGGCAGTTTTCGCGGAGGACAAAAATAAACCCCCCAGGCAGTGCCACCGTTAGCATTGATAATCTCCTTCTGTGTGTCGCTAATGATGAGATTATTACGTGGAGTTATCGTTGGTAAACCAATAAAGTAGCGCTCCGCATAGAGACCATCGCGGACATTCCTGCCACCCGCATTCTTTGCTATCTTATTTTTGTTTGCGTAGTGACCATACTTATCTATGAAAAACAAATGAGGGGGTGACCGCAGATTCTGAAAATCGTAGACGAATTTCGGTCTCATGTATTTGAAATTTGGAATGTTGCTGCCTGGCCGCGTCCTTGACGCTGCCACGCGTATTATGCAGGCGGTCAGTAACGTGTACATCGAGGACCACGTTGCGTGGAGTAGCGTTATACGTGCACACGTGATATGTGCAGGTGATATCAAGGAATGATACAAGATATAGAATGCTCCACCCAGCTCGGGAACTAGCCTAGTCTACTCCCCCGGGCATTAATAACGAGATAGTAAACTCCGACACGGGGAGGCAGCCTAGTGGGGCTGCCCTGCCGTGTGAGGGTGAACTATCGAGGTTACGCAGTGGCGGTACACCGGCGTCTCTGTTATCCTCACGTCACCTCAGCTGCCGTAGTATACGGGGGCTGGGGCTACTGGACGAACGGGCAGAGGATCTGCCTCACTAGGTCCAGGAAGACTCTCCGTCTATTACAGTGCGGAAGCAGCTATAACAGGGTTAGAAAGTATTAAGGAGGGGAAGGAAATTGGGTGGCTCTGTACCAGCGAGCCACTAGGGAGAAGGTAACACCTATGGGGCTCCCCCTGTTCTGTCGTAAAGGTGCTGGCGTTTGGGGTGAGGAGGCTGAAGTCTGTATCTGATCGTACTTGCTCTGGAGCTTAGCTAACCTCCCATCAGTAGTAGTGAGCTGTTGAGTAACTTTATCGAGGCCAGCAGTAAATCCATCAGACACCCTTGAAAGTTTGTCCAGATCATCGGCGGATACCATCGATAGTTGATCTTTATTTTCCACCATGAACTCAGTCCTACTAGAAACTGGTTTCATTCGCAGCAAGAACGATACCAGTCTCTACATACATCATCATGAAGGTAAATGGGTTGCGTGTGCCGTATTTGTTGATGACATCTTGGTGACGGGGACTGACGTCAGCAAAATAGCGGAGCTGCGGAAACTGTTCCAAGAGAAATTCAAAGGAGAGCATCAATGGGATGAGAACATTAACTCTTTCCTATGCTATGGTATATTTAAAATGGCCCTGCACAATTATATACATTAAAGGCCTTGAAAAGCAGGGCAGAGATTGTGTTACGCCTTTGAATCAAACTGATATAAACGAGATGATGTCACAGAGCCGTCTTATGGACAGTGAGGCCTTAATTGCAGCTCATGCACAGAAAAAGTTAACCTGGCAGCAGTTGGTATAGTTCCTAGTCCGCAGAGACAACCATTTTTCCAGCACAGAGACTCGAATTATGGCGCATGGCCGCCGAAGTCAGTACTGGACGTACAGAGAGGGCTTCACAAAAAGACTTTAGGCTTAACGAACCAATCCTTACAAAACTTGGCAAAGTATCCAAGTGGTCCTGGCGTATCCCTTGAGCCGCTAACATGATGGTCCAACGATCGCTGACGCTGGGTTCGGCATGTTCCGGACCACGGAAGGAGAAAGTGGGATCACTTCGCTGCAGGAAGTCGGGGTCGATGGTCTCATAAAATTACTCCATGTCGTGCGAGGGGCAGCAGAAGTCGAACAAGCCACGGCGGGCGCGTCGCGCGGCGCTGAGGGGGCGGGCAGGAGGGATCTCGGCTTCTGCGTGTTCCCCCGCGACACGGACTGAAGTTTCGAGGCCTCCGACCCCGAGTTCCTACGGCAAAGTGCTCTCATTTTCTCCCCCCATCAGGCAGAACATGCCGAACCCAGCGTCAGCGATCGTAGGACCATCATGTTAGCGGCTCAAGGGAGTTAACATTTCCCAACCACCTAGTCATGAGGTGGGAGACGGGCATGCCGCTTGTGGGATCGATCCACGAGCGGCGGGACACGGCGCTGCTTGGCGAGATGACAAGGGGCATGCCCCAGGTGCAAGGCTCGGCGACAGCGATATCCAGTAGGGCCAATTGCCTGAGATCCGGCCGGAAATGGCTAAAGAATATTCAACTTTTGGCTTTAGACTTCCTACCCCCTGACAATAGTTTCATCCTTTTCCTGTGGCGTGTGTCTTAGCCAAACCTTTGCAAAGACGATGGAGACTACTCGATCCGACAATAATTCCGTGCTGTTTCTGTATTCACCAGTCGGTGGCCAACGCGTCGGGATGGGTGCTGGGCTCTATTCTCAAAGCGAGTTTTGAGACAGGCTGACGGGGCTGATAACAGGAATTGAGCACTCCACTCCTGGATTATTGACTCTCTTATACACAAACGAGGCTGACCACGATATCGATGAAGCTGTCTTTGCGTAGCCACTTCTGTGCAGTGTGCAGATTGCGCTACAAACATGCTTGGCCAGTTTAGGCATAAATCATTCGGCAGTGCTCGGGCACTCCATCGGAGAGCTCGCGGCGGCAGCCGGGGTCGGCAGTATCACTGCGCCAAGCGCGCTCGAGCTAGCCACGACAAGGGGCCGCCTGATTAGCTCACTTTCTAGTAACTAAAGCGGCATGGTTGCAGTCCGATCCGGAGTGGCGATTGTGCTAGAGGCATGTCATCAACTACCGATGGTTTCTTTGGCGGCCATCAATGGGCCAACTAGCTGCGTGCTCTCCGGGAATTTAGATTCGATTTTGCATTGTACTTCTCATGTGGATTCACGACGAGTACGAGCCTCTCACGCAGATCACTCCGCTTTCATCGAACCGTGCTATCCCGCGCTGTTGATCGCCGGCGCAAATCTAGAAACCGCGCGGCCACGCCTTGCCTTTTATTCCACTGTGCGGGGAGGCTCAGTTCACGCTGCTCTCACCCCTGAATATTGGGCAGCGCACGCCGTTTTGCCCGTCTTGTTCTATCCGGCTGTTCGCGCTGCCGTCGAAGACAAATTGGCTGTATTTCTCGAATTAGGCATGTCCATGCTGGTAAAAATGGGGGCAGACTGTTGCCATGATCTCTCCGATTCACTGGTGTGGCATGCGGCGCTCGGACATTCCATCGCTGAAGATGTTCAAGCTTTTGCGTGTGCTGTAGAGATAGGTAAGTAAGGGTCGTGCCAGTCGAGCGACACGATAATACCCATGGCATAATCAACGCTTTGCGCCCGTGGTTCAGTTCAATAGCTCTTTGGAACATTGATTCCACGCTCAGTGACAGAACCTGACCGTGGGTTCTTGGAACTTGGTGTGAATTCATTGATCTTGACCAGTATGGCCGAAAGCATTAACACCACTTTATCCATCAGTAGCATTACAGCTTTAGTTCTGCTCGAGCATTCAAGTTTGAATAAGTTACGCAGCCATCTGGAATTCGGGTCATCTGCGCCAGCTTCGACAAACGAACTCGTACCAGAGCGAACAGCAAGCACGGTAAGTGTTTGCGGTGGGTGCTTCTAGCTCCCCTGGACGGTCTGATAATGTCCCGGCTTCCAAAAGTTCGCCCTACTAAGTGTCGGGTCGGGATCAAGCATACCACCAAGTTGATGGGAAGCTTCAGACAGTCCTCAGACATCAGGCAGGTACGGAAACCTTGTGCATAATATTGATTTTTTTCAGCGCGACAACTGGAATATGTCCAAGTCAGAATCCAACCATGTAAATCCTGTCCAATTGTAACTGCTTGAGACCTCGTATGCTGCATTTATAGCTCGCAGTGAGCGTCGCTCTGCGTTGACACACAGGCTCGTTGGCGTTTATATTGGTCTATTCACCATCCTGCTCGGTGGTTCTTTCTTTGGAACCTCTACTCACGATGCAAAGCCGAGCCTCTACGACGGGACGGCAAATTCAGTGTCGATAGCATCAGGCCGCATTTCTTACGTGCTCGGCCTCACCGGCCCTTGTTTCCCCGTCGATTCCGCGTGTTCGGCCTCTCTCGTTGCCGCGTATCTCGCAACGGTAGGATTGTAGTGAGCAGAGTGCGAAAAAGCGTGCGTCGCCGCGGGAGGCGTCCTCGAACAAGACATGTATGCTGCTTTTAGTGTAGCTGGTATGCTGTCGAATCGCGGCCGATGCCACTCGTTCGATAGCCGCGCCGATGGATACTGCCGCGGCGAAGGCTGCGTCGGATTTATCTGTGAATCTGCCGGTGGTGAAATCGCGCACTGGATTCGTTCGACTGCCGTTCGATAAGACGGCCCAAGCGCGAGCCTCACTGCCCCGAACGGGGCCTCCTAGCGTTCCTTGCTCCGAGCCGCTGGTTACGCCGGGGCCAATAGTATTACACTCGAAGCCCACGGAACGGGCACTGCGCTTGGCGATCCCATTGAAGTCGGAGCGGCCGTGAGCGCGCTCTATGGTGCTCAGGTGCACTGCCGAACCGTCAAGGGCAATATCGGGCATTTGGAGGCGGCGGCAGCGGTCGCAGGGCTAGTTTCTTTGATTTCTCTTCCATCCACAAACGTTTCGTTGTGTTCCTTACGTGCTCTTAATTCACATCTTGGCTCCTTGGAGCTCGACTTGTTCTACTTTCCAGCTGACGTAGCTCCAATGAGCTGTCCTGCCACGGGTCGATTGAGCTCGTTTGGGTACAGCGGGACGATAGCCCATGGAGTGTTTTCCATGAGTGAAATGCGTTGCCTGTCGGGCTGCTCGTCTAGTTCGCATGCATCATTATTCCGCGCTCAAAAACATGTAGCCAATGTCCGTTTCAAGCTCGTTTTACAGACCTTCACAAGAAATTGGGAGAGCACTAGCGCTGCATCCTGCTGGGCACGATGTCGTGGAAGCCTGTCCCTAAGAACTTCCACATCATTTGACGAGATCATGTTGCAAAAGCTCTTTCCTAAAATCACTACGCCCTTTGCGTAGTCCATGGTAAACACAATGCGCACACCAGACTGGCTGATCGAATTAGATTTCAAAATATCGGAGTCTTGATCAGATGGACAGTTCCCGCTAGCCACTAGCTATTTGCGCAACGCCAGTCTGTATCACACCTCATGAGAATGCAAAGTTTGCCCGGCGCTGGATGGAAAGATACAGTGCGCCGCTCATCCGCGAGCCTCTTGGTGCCGGCGAGCTCACTTGACCTCGCGTTCCATGCTTCGGCTCATGTTTCTCCACGGCATGGACTCCTACGCAGAATTTTAGGTTAGCTCCCTGAATCATCAAGGTTGGATTCGGAATCCGATAATCGAGTGGGTGACAGTGAGTGCGCCAAATCAGGGCGCCGACTTCTCGTCCGGAGCCGGTGGCTTGTTCCTGCGCGAGCGGTTTGGGTACGGGCCGCGGAAGTCGCGGTCGTGGCGCCTGATTACACAGTATTCCCTTACCAGCGTCAGTCAAGCTGAGATGTTTATTCGCATCCGCAAGGCATCAGACGAAAATGCAGATATTTATGGGCTTGGAGAAGACTGGACAGCATCGGTGCAGTCGATGATGTGAGCCGTAAAGGAACAGGCCCCCGTCCACGGTTTGGCAGGTATCAGCGAAGGGGCCACGGCTGCATCGGTCTTCCTTGTGTAGCATGCCTCTGAGCTAGGGCCCGGGTTCCGCGCTCGAATGCTGATTAGCGTCTGCGCGCTGACGTCGCCCACGCACAGCAATCTGTACCAGACTGCAACGAGCACCGTGCCATCTCTGCATTTGGTTGGCGACGGTGATACTAGAGACATTTAGCACATGGTTGGGCGGACAGCGGGAGTCTACAGTTTGAGCTTTGGTGGTGTCTCTATTTTCAGTGGTGGACACAAACTCCCCAATTTGAGCCCTCGGCTTGTCAATGCTTTCGACTCTCTCTACTCTACTACCCTTGGCAGGTCCACCCCGTACATACGAGCGCCTGCCCGGCTCTTAAAGGAAAATGCTCACCGGAAATTGTATCACGGCTCTGTGTCCTAGCAGAATACTAGCACTGGCTCGTGGCATACTGGCGGCAACGCCGAGCAATTATCGTCGCAAACTGCAGGACTGTTGTGGTAGGAAGGTCACGTTTTGCTCATAGACTGTGGACATTTTATTCCGTCCGCTCGTCTCACCAGCTTGCTACGCTTAATCGCGTGCTCTGCTCTCGTTTTTTAGGGCAGCATCCATTCGAGCATTTGGGTTAAAACCTGGAGTTTCACCTCACATCAGGAGCAAAATGTCACAACTCCTATTCTTGCGGTGCTTAGCAAAGAACAGGGCTGGTCTAGTTTGGGTTGAGATGCAGATTGGTGCGTGAGCACTTAGGAACGAGGCTCCTAAGAACGAGGCTTTAATAGATTTCTTCAAGAGGACGTGAGTGCCGTCGCTGGCGATTTGATGGACGCGCGGGATCAAATACAAAGCTGTGTGTTGATCCTGAAGTGAACTAAAGTCATTGGTATTTGAAACTCCCTTGCCTTGATGCGTCTTAGAAACTCTTCGCGCATGTTGCTGAATCAAAACATCGATTGCATGGATTCAAGGTTCATTACTTCCAGCCTGGACGTTGTACACGGCACCATGCAGGCTGGTCCAGACTCTGGGAAAGCGATGTCAATCAGGTCACTCATGCGTGTTTCACTTTTCCAAAGCAGATAATCCTGCTGTTGGAGCTCGGACTGAGTGATTCTGATCAAGGCTTCGCTCGAGTGCAGCCATGTACAAGAGATAATGATCTAGTGTTCTACTGGTGTTGTCTTCGACCTAGTTCGTCGGAGCAATCTGGTGTGAATCACCCGCTCTATTTCAGCGCCGACAGTTATCATGGGTTTCGAAGTATGTTTTCTACAAATACGCGAACCGATGGAGCCGGATCACATTTTTATGCTGAAACCTTGCTAGGACGCAACGAAAGCTCTCGCTAGTACGCACCATGCCGTGAAACAATAGTACATCGCTCTGAGAATTGTGGGTCTGTGTTCCAAGTCACTTTAACAATCTCAGACTTAAGGTGCAACCTTTAAGGGAGCCATTACCGATGGTGCCGAAGCAACCGGATGGAGATGAGACTCGCCCTGTCAAGTGGCTGTCATCGCTGGCAACGATGTGCTGCATGTATCGTTGACTTCATTTAGGCCTATTCAAATAACTGCTCTGACTGCCACTCTGGTCTCTGCAGCTTAAAGTGGACGCAACGTCATGCTGCACGTGATCGACGACAAATGCGACAGTTGTCTGTTCGAAACTAGGCCTTCTGCGGGAAAAGATCTTGTCATGGCGACGGTTATCGGGTCACGACTTGCAAGTTCCCGCACTGCGCTATCTTTCCGAAATATATCAGACGTGGTTTTAGCCGATGTCAACGTTGCGTTTGATGTCTCCTTGATACGCGTCGACGCTGTGGAAGCTTCCGCTACGCACCTAGTCGACAAGATTCTGCTGTAATAGCCAGTTGACACTGAAAAATGCAGTCCTTTGTCACTCGAGGTAAATGCACTTATGCTGCCCGACGCGCGTGTGTGTCAAGCGTCGAGCAAAGTAGTATGGACTAGAAATGCCTACTTGACACCATTTTCTGCCACTGCGACTGTGAGCCTCTTGTGGGATGGCCTCGACACTGCACTAGTAGAGCTCGATGATCTTTCCACGTTCAACGCTATGAGCCGAGGCTTACTTAAGGCCCTGTCAACTCAACTGTCGAATGCATTCGCATCGTCTGCAATTCATGCTCTAATTCTTTGAGCTGCCGGCCCTCATTTCTGCACCGGAGGCCGCTATGACAAAAAGATGCCAACAATTTCAAAATGGTAGATAAAGGCCCGAGCGATATTTGGCACTGGACATGTCCTAGATTAGATTCGGTGCACAGCAGTGTTGTCGATTTCCGTGCTTCACGGGTCCTCCATAGGCGGCGGGCTGCTTCTGAGCCTCGCGACTGACCATCGCATAGCAACAGAATCAGCTATCTTCAGACTAGGTGTGGCGCCACATGGCCTCAGTCCAATTGTGATGGCCACGAGACTGCTCCCCTCGATCGTTGGTTACAATTTCTCCATGAGGATGTACGCTGAAGACACGTCGTTGTCTGTGCAAATGGCCATCGACTTGGGTCTTGTCAACGAGGTTTTCAATGACTAAAATGTGGCAAGAGACGCCGCTGAGGCACGAAGGCCAGCGCGGTCTTCTAGCCTTTGAAGGTCATTGGTGACTGCGAGATGATGCCCAGGTCATTTCAACCAAGAGACATTACTAAACGTCGAGGCAAGTGCTAGTATCCGTGTAGTTTCCCCCGCGGCGATGCAATATCAACGGAATCATCATAGAATACAAGAGCCCAAACCCGATGTCAGCCACGTGGCCATTTTCGAGGTCTCAGAAAGCCGGTAGTGCGCTGTTTAGACCTAAATGTCAGTAAATGAGATTGAGGTTGCAATCAACTCAGTCGTTTCAAGTGTAGTTGGTGTGACGATTTCACCGGACATCCCTCTCATGGAGGCAGGTGTTGATTCTCTTGGTGCATCGGAATTAGTGTAGCTGGTGGGTAGTGAATTTGGAATGGTATTGCCTGCAACCATGCTATTTGATCACCCGAGCTCTGCTGCGTTATCTGAGTTTATCTCTCAATCTATTAAAAATTCAGAACACATCCAGTGTGCAGTCCCAATGGATGCTACCGCGTATTTACAGACAGACGGATCATGAAACGTAACTGCTTCCGCCTTGCTTGAGGTCAAATTTTCAGAGGTTGATATAACGAGCTCAATTCACTCGATGGTTAAACATATGGTCGGCCAGGAAGCTGGAAGCAACACTCCATTGATGGAAGCAGGTCTAGATTCTTTGGCGTCGTCCGAGCTTGTTGCCGGCTTGAGTTCCTTGTTTAGCACCCACCTCTCTGCGACGTTACTTTTTGATCACCCGAGCGTCACTGCAATTTCATAATTCCTTTTCCAGGACCTCAGCGCAAGCACTGAGTCAGGTGAGCTGGCTCAAAAGGCCGCACCTCGAGTTGTGCAGCCAACAGGGGGCGAAGACTCAGCAAGGCTCAAATCTGGAACCGAGCCACCAGTTCTTGTAGATATGTCAGCAGATATAGCAACTATAACCTACAATAAGCCAGCCATTCAAAATGCGTGGGATCCCGAGGTGTCGCTTTGCATTAGATGTGCCCTTGGACTGGCTGCCGCCGAATCTTCCATTCGTGCTGCGGTCATAACAGGCAAGGGAAATTATTTTTGCACGGCCGCCAAATTTGATGATGTGCTGCGTGTAGAGCACCCAGTAAAGCTTAACTGAATCACGACCGAGGGCTTTTACGTCGTTTTTGACTCATTCGTGACTTTCACCAAGCCTATAATTGCAGCTATTAATGGGCCTGCTTATGGGGGGGGTGTCACCTAGGCGACCCTCTGCGATAAAACTATTGCTCTCGAGAATGCTTTATTTTCTCTGCCCTTTGTACAATGGCATGTTTCACCAGAAGGTTGCTCTACAACGCACCTGGCTTGAGCCGTTGGCGCAGTTGCAGCATCCAAAATGATTGCCGAGCACTGGATCCCGTCATCGTAAGACGCCTGAGATGTCGGGCTAGTGAATGAAGTCGTTGCAGAAAGACTGTTGCTACCTGACGTTGCTCGTAGAAGCATGCAGATCAGCAATCGGAATTTTTCCACCATAGAAGCAAGCGCCGACGCTTCCGAGGAGTACATCTTTGCCAATGCCGTAGAGTGTATTGCACTGGCAGAATCGTGCATGTCTTGATCTTTCCTGACGACCCAAGTACATGCTGGTGGTGGCTCCTTGGATTACAAGAAGCTGTGTCGTTCTATGATAGTTTCTCTTCCTCTCCCTTTGCTCCTAATCTTTGACTGGCATGCTGTAACAAAGCATGAATCTTCATCGCTGTCAGATGTTGTCCGGGAGATCCATTCATGTGTACAACTGGGCACAATCGAAGAGGCCTATCAGCATCAGCTCGCGAGCACCAGCAAACTGGCTAAAATCTCCCCTTCCTTCTCGCTGTTTGGCCATAAGCTCCCTGGTAACATAGCACGAGGCGAGTCGTTGTAGTTTCTCGTTGGGGAGTCTCTTGTAACTTAAACGTCGCCGACTAGGTGGGTCGTGGATTATAATCTCGCCTCTCCTGCGGGCTACGGCAGCTTCTTTTTTGGATCCTTGAAGTTGGAATATTCGACTTGGGGCATGTCACCCTCGCAGAGTCAGGCTATAGATCCATAGCAAGTTTTCCTTCTCGAAGCTTGCTATCCAGTGCTTGCGACCGCAGCGGGTTCGCGAACTCTCCTGCGAAACAGCAACGCTGGTGTTTATATCGGTATATTGGGCTACAGTAACACCGGGCCAAGTATACCCTGGTGAAATGACGTCTCCGGTTCTACCTGCAGTGTTGATGTCTACACTGGAACCGTCACATCGCTGGCCGTTGCGTCTGGTAGGATTTCGTTTACTCTCGGGCTCACCGGTCCATGCTTTCCGATTGATACGGCATGTTCGGCATCTTTGGTTGCTTTACATGTAGCAGTCGGTGCCTTGCGCAGTGCAGAGTGTCCTCTCGCATGTGTTTGCGGCGAAAATCTTCTTGAACAGATGATATTTGCCGCATTCACAATCGCAGGGATGCTTTCTTCGCGCGGTCGCTGCCACACGTTCGATTAGAGCGCTGATGGATATTGTCGCGGCGAGGGCTGGGCAGCCTTCGCGCTCCAACACCTAGATTAAAACATTGTGTCGGTTCCTGGTACTGCAGTATGACAGGATGGCCCTAGTGCAAGCCTCACAGCACCGAATGGCGCATCGCAACAAAAATTACTAGGTGCTGTGAGAGATGTGGGGGGAGGAAATGCAGCCCTGGAAGCTCACGGTACGGGAACAGCTCTTGGTGACCCTATCGAGGCTCCACACTAGATACGTCACTGTTTGCGGCGTACATTAGTCAATTCAGGTTGGTGCTGCGACTGGTGCTCTAAGCCGGAAGGCTCGGGGTAATGAAGAGATCCAATGCACATCACTCAAGGGAAACATGGGCCATCTAGAGACTTGCGCGGCATCGGCAGGTCTGGTGTCGCTGACACTTCTGCCACTTCATAAAGCCATTGGGCCGACCAATGCGCAGCTATGAAAGTCATTTTTGCTTTCGAGGGTGGCCTGGGACAGGCACTGCTCCCACTAGGTTGAATGCGCACCTCATGTCTGTAATTTCATCAGTGACACGATCGTTCCACATGATGAATGAGTAGCTTCCCTGCTTTCGATCTTCAGGCAGACTAAGCTCATTTGGGTACAGCGGAACTATAGCCCATGGGCTGTTTGCTCTGGTCAATACGCCTCACCCTATCGCTGGGTCGGTGAGGCAATGTAATTCGCTGTTTTGAGCAAAAAAACATTCAGGTCATAGACGTGACGTTTGTACGTAGCCGGCCTTCGCGTGTGCGTATGCAGTTATTTTGGTCCTGGCGCTCACTGAAGCTCGAAGGTGTCTCTGTGGCGTTCACTTCTATCACTGCCCCACACCACACACTCACCACGACGGCGTCCTTGGGTTAACTCTGGACTCTTAAACTCGCTATTGGACCGTTAAAACGTAATCTCGACAATCTCTGACACTTGCATAGGGTACGACTCAAGATTGGCATCCGAAGAAGTTGTCGACATAAATGTAGAGGGTATGTCTTTGGCCAGAAACTTCGTATGATTACTTCGTGAGCGGCCAGACAGCTGGTATACTTGTATTCCACAAAGGTGGCGATACTGTCCTTAAGCTGCCACTTTCTGGCGAGACGCTACTACTATCGCCAGAATTCGTTGTCATATTATTGGCAACCACGCTTGATGAAGAGGACGTGGGAATCACAAAAAAAATACTTGCAATTGATTTGTTCTCACGTCAGAATGCAACAAGAGCCTTGATGCATCCCTTTGGCGCGACCGTCAATCATGGGGCCGTACGTTTCCTCGTGGCAGACGTGGCGTCCTGGGATAACACGACGGTGGCGAGCGGGATCCACGTGCAACGAAGCGATTCTTCCTTGGCTCCAATCATTGATGAGAGCACGCCCATGGATCACGACGCTGTTGGTATTATCGCCCTATCTTACTACGCTCCAAATCTAGCCCTGAATGCCTCCAGTGCGGAAGCATTCCACGTCAGTCCTGGCAGATACACAAGGGGGCGCGGGCAGGAAAATATCACATTTGTGAGCGATGATGAAGACACTGTGTCTATGGCATTGTCGAGCGTGAGGAAGCTGCTTCGATAATGTGAATTGACCTTCCCCGAAATTGGCCGCCTCGAGGTCGGCACCGAGAGTGCGGTGGACCGTGGTAAGTCAACCAAGTCGTTTTTGATGTCATTGTTTGAAGCTGACGACCACCACAGTGTTGAAGGGATCGACACATTCAATGCGTGCTATGGTGGGACAAATGCATTATTTAGTACCTCGAATTGGCTCCAGACCAAAGCATGGAATGGCACGTACGGTGTTGTGGTCTGTTCCGACCCAGCGGTCCACCCAGATCCTGCTTACATCTCTGGCATCGGAGCTTCTTCGATATCCCTGGTGGTTGCGTCGCAAGCATCAGTGCTGCTCCAACAAAGGCGCACGACCTTCATCAAGCACTCCTGGGACTTTTATCGACCTGCTGGGTGGCACACGAACGATGCGATTATGGACGTGAACATCGCAACAGGTCAATACGAAGAGGCCATGATGTGGTGCCAGGGCTGATTTAGTGAAACAGTTGGTCGACGGGATCTACTGACAACATTTGATCTCGTCGCATACCACAACAACGCTCCTTATCATTCGAAGAGGAACTTGTGACTCATGTGTGAAGCGATGTATGGTAAACTCACCAAGGTCCAACACGAGAATTCGTTCCAAACGCACGTTGAGGCTGGCATTGCGATAAGCGCCCAAAATGCTACCACATATACGTGTCCAGTCTACGCGAGTCTGCTGTCATTCGCTCTCACGATTGGCTCTGTCCTGGCTAATCAACGCATCCTATGCATGTCGTACGGATCCGGCTGTGCTGCTAGTATGTATGGACTGGACGTTACTGCTGCGCCCGTGTACACCTCAGATGTGCTCGCCAGCTTGCGTGATCGGTAGCAAACACCATTAGAGGACGCCCTACTACTCGTCAACGCTTTTGAGATGACACATTGATGATTCGGATACGAGCCGTCCCATCACGAGTGCTGATAGGATGCAGCCTTTTATCTCAAGGGAGTCAGTGCAATGGGGGTCCGTGCCTACCAAGCCCATTCTACAGTAACGTTGATCAAGGTAGACTCGCTGGATTCTTCGCGTGTTGTCCGCGTCGAGCTAGCCTAGGACTCAGTGAGTGACTCGTTGCTTGAGGAGCTCATCCCAGTCCTGGATCCCGGACGAATCACAGTTTTCGCATTTGCCACAGCTGCTGAGAGTGCTGTCGAAAGCGCCGTGGCAGAGAGAACCCTTCTTAATGAGATCGCGCGACAGAGCCGTCATCTTCCCATCGTCTTCTCGAGTCGCGGGAGCGCAGCAGGGGGGAAATTGTTGATTATTGCGGTTGCAGATCTCGCGATTGCAACGTCTCAGTCCACGTTTGGACTATCTGTCGCGCTTGGTCAACCCCCGGGCATTGCCCCCTTGGGACTCCGCAGGCGGGTCAGATCCCACCTCATTCGGCGATGGGTGCTGCTTCAAGAGAAACTTGATGCAAGCACAGCGCGGAGGAGCGGGTTGATCGAGGTCATTACCTCGAGAGGTGAAGAACATGAGTTTCTTTGCTCTCTAGACCACTGTTTAGCATCGACCGTGGGCTCATAGATGTAGACGATTCTCCCGGGAGTCTCGACAGCTGATACGCCGACGCACAGTACCCAGCAGCTTCAATTCAAATGTCCCCTGGCAGGGGTTGGAGAAATGTGGGTGGACGAGGGCTCTTGCTGTTGGGGGGGGACAGCTGAGTACATTCACAGTCTTCAGCGGGAAGGGATACACGCTGTACTGCTGCAGACAGGTTCCAGGACCCAGAGAGCACGTCTGGGTCCTCACACTGAAGCGATTCCACCGAAGAGGCTGGCGTCTGACCTGCAGGCGTGGTGATTGATTTCGAAAACTCTTACGAAGCTCCAAGCTCCCCTACTTTGCATTTTGCAGAGATATAGCTTGCAAGTGTCCAATTGGATGCTTGATGCCGACTGGAGGACGGGTGAGACTCAAGCTCATGGAGAAACATGTGAAGCTACCGAACACGCTCCGGACTCCGAGCTCACATGTGAAAGTAAGGACTTACTACAGATTGGCGTCATTTCGTCCCTTCATGATGCTGCCTCTACCCAATATTCTCATGCGCTCACTCTTGCTTACACAGTGACCTTGGCACCTCGTATCGGAGCCCGCAACACAACCACGCTGCTACGAACCAGGCCGCAACCGGCGAGTTGCGATATCACTATGAATCAAAACAGTGGGTAGAAGCTTATTTATGATAGGCGTTCTACCCAATAGATTAGGCATGCTCCTGGACGATACCTTGCTGCTGAAAATAGATTCATTTGAGGGCTTTTTTCGGGCAAGCGTGCAACTTGGTTAGAAGAGCACACAACAACACCGTTCTTTGGGCTCTTCATCGGGCAATTCACCCCAGTCTCTATGCCATGCCCGTCGTTTAGAGAACTCTGTCTCACAAACACAGTTTGAGAGTCAGCAGCGGACGAGCCGGCGATGTAAGCCATGGGATATGATCGCATCAGGAAAATGGGACCTTGTCGACAACAGTGAAGCACTTCTGGATTTCCGGCGCAGGTCGACATGTGAACGCTTGCACGTCATACCCTATTTTGTGTTCGTAAATTCGACTCTTGAACTGTCGATGCAATTCTTTGCTTCATACACCCTGAGCTCCGTCAACACTCGCTTCGGCGCAGTGATTCTGCAGATAGGGGCGAGGTCGGTGCAATGTATGATCTTGGTCATGCTATTTGCCGTTGCGAGTGGCCGACGATACTTGAACTTGCTGCTAAGACGCCAAGACTTGAGTTGGAACCACTGATCGGAGCTTGCGACATTCTATTCCTCTCTAACACCTCAACACCTCAAGGCGTCCTCGTGTTGGCGTTGGTTTCTGATACGGTTAAGCTACTTCTCAATCCCGCGTCGCATGCTGAAGTGCTCTTGGCCACAGCGAAGCGAGACGCAGAACTCTAAACACGAGTCCAGCGGGCACGGTTGCGATTGGTGCGTCTAACGATTTCTGTCTCGGCTGTCATGGAGCTCAACGACCCGAGTAGTTTTAACGCATAGCGCCAGAGCATGCTGGACGACTTCATAGTACTCATGAAAACGCTAAATCATCTAGTCTGTTGCAAGCAGGTAAATGCGAACAAATTCTAGGGTGCGGGTGCCCACTTCTGCCCTGGAGCGCGGCATGAAGAATTCGAGCACGGTGTACTATCAATTTTGTCTGCATAAAGTAACACAACCAGGAGCCTTTGAATGCTCGCGGTGCCTACCTTTGCCTCAATCCACGGGAAGCTCATAGGAGGCGGTGTTGCGTTTGCTCTCGCGGCAGATTGGCGCGCCTGCAGTGTGAAAACGACGCTCAATTTTGGTAATTTGCCACGCGGTGTGAATCCTCTTTTCATGCTCAGTCGCGCGTTGTGAATA